CAGGGCCTGGGCCTGGATGGCATCACCGGGGCTCCCGCCTCAGCACAAGCATACGCGGGGTGGTCGCACGCCCAGCCCGCAGCAGGGACTGCCGTGCCGCGCACACTGCCCACGGCCACGGCCCCACAACCCTCCTCCTCCCACACCCACAGCCTGGCAGCCCTCTCCTGCTTGCGCTGGCACCCTGGGACGAGGCACCCCGTGCAGGAGGGAGCCCAACACGTGGGGCCGGTGCGTAGCAGCCCCAGCCCCAGCCCCTCCGACCTGCCACCGAGCCGAAGGGAGCGTGGGGCAGCTGCATGCATGCCTGCCCGGCGGGGCCTCAGGCTGGTACCGGGACCGGAGGGCAGGGCGTCCCCAGCCCAGGGTTTCGGGGCATCGCCTTCCTCCTCTGAGGCTGGGCAGGGGCCGGGGCCGGGGCCTTGCGAGCTGCCAGCGTTCAGCACGGTGACGAGGTGTTTGGGATATCAACAAATTAGCAGGCGTTGGGGAGCGGAGGATGCAGGCACCATCCGTAAATGTCAGCTCGCTGCCTCCTCATTTTGCAGATCATTAAACCCAATATTCCTAACCTGTATTAGTGTGGCGGGGACGGGCCCCTCCCCACGGAGCCGCCAGGGAGCCGCGCCACCCGCTGCATTGCCATGGAGACTCCCGCCGCGCTCCACCCTGCCCAGTGCCGCCGGAGCGCCGCGGTGCCCATGCACCTGCCGGCACGGCCCCGGCGCCCAGTGCCAGCCTCCGGGGTCCCTCGAAGGCTGGGAGAGCAGGGGCACGGGGGCAGGGGCCCATTGGGATGTGTGTGTGCATGCACGAGGAAGGGCACGGGGCCCGTGTGCACGGCCCCTGCCAAGGGGCACCCAGGAGGAGTGAGGAGGTGTTGCCTCCAAGGGCCCTGGGGCAAGAGGCGTGTGCAAGGGGTGGGTCACGCTGCGGGCACCAGGCAGGCCACGGGCACGTGCCCTGGGGGTGCAAGGGTTGTGTGCATGCGCTGGTGCTGGGGGCACATCCGCAGGGGAGGCTGGAGCCAGGGGGCAGCCCGGGAAGACCAAGCTGGGGGCAGGGACCTGGGCACCGGCTGCCGGGCTGGGGTGCAGCGAGCGAGAGGCCCTGGCTGCAGCTCCAGGCGCGGGTGCCCCGAGCAGCGCATTGGCAGCTGCCAGCCCCAGTGACAGGCTGAGAGCAGCTCAGCACGGCGCTCCCAGCCCCCGACGGCCCCGACACCGGCATTAATCACGGCCATCGCCCGGCGCAGCTCTTCACTGGCCATCAATTTCCCGGGGGGTTTCAAACTCAAAAACAAAGACAAAAGCGCGTCGTTGGCCGCCCCGGCGAAGCCCATTACGGGGCTGTCAGCTTCTCGCCATGCACCCTGCATCACTCTTTAAGCACATGAGAAGTTCATTATCCCCGGAGCTGTGGCAGCCATGGGGGGCTGGCCCAGGGAGCGTCGCAATGGTGCCTGCCTCTACCCACATGCAGCCGCGCACCCTGCCCGCGCCCCTGGCCTGGCTGGGCGCCATGTGGGCCCCCGAGGGGCAGCACGGGGCTTTCTCTGGACAGCGCAGGGAGCAGAGCCGGGCCCAGACCAAGGAGGCCTGGCCTCCCCCGGTCCCCCGTCACCCGCGGCTGCAGCCACCTGCCGGGTGACGGTCTGCACCGGGCGCTGGGATGCTCCCCCGTAGCCGGCCGCCGACGGGCTGACGCTCGCAGACAGCCCCCGGCCGCGCTCGGCGGTTTGGTGACGTTCCCTAGCAGCCTGATGCCGCCACGCTTGCCATAGTTTGTTGATGCTCCCTAGCAACCTGACACAGCGCTCTCTTTAACATGCGCCCATGTAAAAAAGCAACAGCTCGTTTGATTTATGATACTTCAGAACAACTAAGATTCAATTGCTCCGCACGTCCCCGGCTCTGATTACCTCCTAAATGAGATAAACTGATAGCAATTTATCCCCAGACCTCACCAACTTTCCCAGGATGCTAACCTGAGACACTGGCACCCAGCACGCACGGCTGGCTGCCCCCTCCCGCGCAAGGGCCGGAGAGCGTGCGCGGGGAAGGGGCAGGGCGATGCACGGCCGGGGCGGGGGAGCATCATCCTGGTCCCCGTGGGAGGGGGACGGCGGATGCCTGAGGGCAGAACCGGCCTCCTCCGGCTGCCCCCAGCTGGCCCAAGGGGCATGTGGGGCGTGGGTTGGTGCAGGGAGACTGTCCCCAGAGGCGCCTGGGAGCCCAGCTCAGTGCCGCGGGCCGGCCCTGGCTGTTGCGATGCCCGAGCGGACACACTCGCTTCTCCCTGGGCCAGCTGGGAGCAGGTCCAGGTGATGCTATAGGCCCAGGCTCATCCCCAAATCCCTTGCACACAGCCCTGCCGGGTGGGAGGGAAACTCCTGGAGAATCCCAGGAGACCCGTCGCCTCCTGAGTGCTTGACTCGGGCACCCAAGCGGGGTCCAGGCAAAGGGAAGTGTGTTCAACCCCCAAACCAGGGTTTAAAGGAGAGCATTAAACCAGCAGCTCTGCTGCAGGGAGCCACTGGACACTGCAGGGCTGCTGGCACGGACCCCCGCTCAGGCTCCCACCGCGGGAGCTGGCAGGGACCAGCCAGCAGTAGAGGGCTGTTACCTCTGTGCTTACCAGCCACTGCAGGGGCCATGATGCACACCTCGCTGTGGGCGTGCGGCTGTGGGGGAACCGGAGAGTTAGGGTGCAACACCATCCTGCCCCCTCGGCCTGTCCCCATCCCTCCTGCCATCCTCTCTCCAGCTGTGTGTGTTCAGGCCAGCTGGGCTGCCTCCTCCTTCCCCGCCATGGCCCCTGGGCACTGGCAACAGGAGCACCGAGCGCACCCTCCTGGGCCTGATGCTGCCCTGGCCGTGGCAATGGGAAGCAGGGACGCATACAGATGGTGCTCAGCGCTTGCTGGCTGGCCCGTGCATGCAGCATAGCCCACTCTGGACTGGGCCTCGGTGACCCGCGCAGTGCCCGAGTGGGGTGGGCTCACTGTGACCGCGCAGGAGGTGGCACGTGGTACAAGGCAGGGGCAGACGGGCCAACGTGGTGCCAGGCGCAACGGGGCTAGTGCTGCATCAGCAGCTTCCTGCGCAGGCACCCAGGGCTGAGAGGCCTCCACTAAGGGACCACTGGAGCGACGGGGGCAGGCAGGGACACTCAAGTCGCAGCGCTGCCTCCAGTCCACGTGCCAACTGCAGCCTTGCTCCAGGGCTGGGCACTGAAGAAGTCTCACCTTGCTGCAGACCCCAGCCCACGTGGAGCCCCCCACCCCAGGCACCGGCCATGCTGGCATCGTCCGCACTGCCCAGGGCATCGAGGCCAGATTCGGAAACCTTTGTCTGCCACCCACCGCACCTGTCCAGGCCGCCGATTCCCTGCAGCATCAAGCCACGGGCCCCTCTGCTCCGAGCTCCTGCCCTCTGGAGAGCCACCTCCCCAGCACCGTGCAGAGACGACCTCCGCCTGCTCCCCCTGATGCCCAGCACCCCTCTGCACTGACCCCGTGCCCATCGCAGGGACCGACGTCCCCTGCCTGCCCAGACGGCACCCCGGCCTGTCTGCGGGGCTTGCAGGCGACTGTCGCGTGCTGCACCGCATTAAGACCCATTCAGCGGGACGGTGACCATCTTAAGCCAACAACTCTGACAGCCGCATAAGTCACTTCTCTCCCCAGGCGCTCTGGGCCGCCGGCAGACGTCACCAGCACAGATCTCACATCCTTGGGATTGCTGATAAAAGAACTGAATAGCCCCAGACCCCGAGCCAGCCCCAGGAGATGCTGCCTGCTGACCTCTCTCTGTTAACATCTGAGCCTGCTTTCACTGCATCTCGCACGCGCCTCGCTAGTGCAAGGAGCGCGCGCTTCCTCCGCCGCGTCACGGCTCTGAGTACAACCACGGAAAACCTCAAAGCGATCGTGGGCACAGCTGACCCAGAAACGGACGCTGAAGTGGGGAAAACCAATGCAAACTGGAGCTGTGGCCAGCAGCCATCCCCAGCACCTGCCTTCCAGAGACAGGACGATTACACTGGGCAAAAAAGCTTCTTGGTTAAAAGTAGATGTGAAGGGAGCAGTCAGACATGAAAGCTGTACACAAAGCCTGGCATGGAGGGGAGGTCCAGGGCAACAGACCCAAGTGAGAAGGAAAACATGGAGGTGACTGACAAGGGAAGCTAAAGGAAGCACAGCTCGATCACTGGCCAGTGGGGCTAAATACAGTTACGGGGACTGTAGGATGCAGACAAGGGGGTCAGACATTAAAGCCTCCAAACTGACGGCCTGGAGAAGGCAGACGCAGATCGCCAGCTCTCCCCGACTCAGGACACGGGAGCTCTGCATGGAGCGAGGAGGAGAGCGACGTGCCGCTTGCGCAGGGTTTCCACACATGTGGGAGCCGCTGGCAGAGGAGGCCGTTCAGGCCTCGACCTTTGCAGGCGGGACGCAGGATGGGCCACGCACACCCTGAGCGACTGCGCCGGTGACGGCGATTCTGGGACGGACGCTAAACCTTGTCACGCGTCAGGGCACAGAGACCAGTTTCGCTACTGGAAACTGGGACGTAAGTGGCAGACTGCCCTGCCTCGGCTCTCACGAGCTCTCAGACTCTGTCGTGAAGCAGGCAGGGCTCTGTGCACGTTTTTGGGCACGAGAAGAGGAAAACTGGCTCCCTGAAACTGCCGGCCTTTCTGCAGGGAAACCCAGCCTGCGTAGCCCGCGTGGCGCGGACGGGCGGAGGTGCGAATCCACAGGTGATGGGAACGAGGACCTTATGGGATGCGTTTGGCAGCTGCCTCCCCAGGGGGCCAATGTCAGGGGCTCGACCAGCTGATCCCCGAGGTCTCGCCCGACCCCGGGGCTCCACGACCTGGGGCTGAGACACAGGCAGAGCAGCTGCAGCCGGCGCCGGGGGAGCGGAGAGCGTGGCATGCCGGGGAGCCGGGCGGTGGGCTCAGGGGCTGCCCAGCTGCACGACAGCCCTTCCTACCTTCCGCGGCTGCGCTGGGGCCGTCGGGCCGGGTCGTCCCCGTGCTCTTTTTTCTGCGGTGTTTCTTCCTGTTTGCATGTGGGGACGGAGGCGGCTCCAGCTTTGGGCTGGCGGCGTTGGAAATGTTCGGGCTGGAGCTGAGCGACTCTGCCGTGCCGTTAGCTGGAGAAAGGAGGAGAGAAGGCAGTGGAGGGGGATGCCTGACACCTGGCCCCACTCAGAGCCCCCCGCCCCATCACCCCCACCCAGACCCCTGCCCCGCTCAGAGCCCCCCGGCCTATTGCCCCAACCCAGAAACGTGTCCCACTCAGAGCCCCCCGCCCCATCACCGTGAACCACTCAGAGAGCCTGGCCCCATCACCCCAGCCCAGACCTTCGTCCCGTTCAGAGCCCCTATCCCCAACACCCAGGCCCACCACCTCGGCCCAGGCCCCCCAGCCCCATCACACAGGGATGCCCCCGGCTTTGGGCCACCAGAGCCCCTGCCCCACTCAGAGCTGCCAGGCCCCGTGGCAGAGCCAGCCCTTGATGCCCATCCCTGTCTCCCCGACGCTGCACCCGCAGCCACGGGGATGCCCCGGGACCCCCGCCCTCCTTGGGACCGGCTCTGGGGCGCTGCGGCAGGCACTGCTGCTGGGGCAGCTCCGGCCGCGGAGCCCCGCTACCCCGGACGCAGCCGCCTCCTGGTCCGGGGAGGGGCCGGGGTTGCCGCACAGGCGCCCGCGCAGGATGGTCTCCATAGGCTCCCGGTACGGTGCTGAAGAAGCCGCATCCCCAGCAGCAACGCACCAAATTTATCCTCAATCACACTGTTCCTTACAATTAATAGCAGAATTAGAAACAATCAGGGAGCTGCCTAATTACTGTCAATTAGAGCGCGCTAATCAAGCTCCGATCACACACACACACGCTGCCGCTGCACTCACCATTAAATGTCAAATTTCATTAGAGACCAGCAACAAAATCAAAAGCCTGACATTCAATTTCAGCGGCGCACACGGCGCAGGCTTCCAATCAGCATAAAAATGCAGACTCCGGGGAAGGCAGCGCGGGGCACGAGTCGCTCCACTGTTAACCCTCTCCGAAAGGCGCCCCCGCCTCGCCTGCCCCTGCCCCTGCCCCAGGTCCCGATCCCCAACTCCACGTGCCGCAGCAGCTGGAGTCTGGAGGCAGGCAGCAGGAGGGGCCCAGGAGTCCTGCTAGCACGGGGCAGCGTCCGGGCAGGATTCGAGAGAGCTGGATCCTGGTGGTGGCTCTGCCTGGGACCCCACGCTGCTCTCCGTCCCCTCTCTCACACCCCCACCGCACGCAGGCTGCGCTCCCTGGGCTGGGGCCGTGGCTCCTGACCTGCGTGCAGGCAAGGTGGAAGGGGTGGTAGGGCCGCGTCCTGATGGGACAGAGACCTGGGCAGCATGCCTGCGCTGCTGGGACACCTTGCCCCATTGCCCCAGGGAAAGGACAGGGGCTGGGTAAGACCTTCCCTGTCTCTGGCCCTGCTGCGGATGCAGGCGCTGGCTGTGCGCTCCTGCTACCACCGCCGGGGCAAGTTGTGCACCCAGCTGAGAGTCACAGGTACGACAGCACAGGGTGGCAGCTCCTCCCTGGATCCAAACTCACCGGCTGTCCGTGCTGCCGTAGCCGGCTCAGACAGCGCCAGGATGCTGAGCCAGAGCCCTGGGCATGGCGTAGCCAGGCATAAGGGCGTGGGGACACAGCCCTATACTGCATGTCACTTGCACCCAGTGCAAAAACTGCCTTGGAAAACATCAGAGGTAAAAGCGACACCAGGGTAAGCATGTGTCTGCATTATCCTGGGGTAACTGCCTCTGCCAGGGGGTTTTCCTGACAGCAGGCTACCCCTAGCGACCTGGCCAGTGCTGGGGGCCGCCCCTCCCCTGCTCCCCCAGGACACAGCCTCCTGGGAAAGATGCTGCGTGAGCATCACGGGTGCAGGGAGCGCTAGCATCTGTCTGTTTGGCATCTCGGGATAAAGTACAAACCAGGGCACAACACTTGTGTGTCCAAGCCCACTCACACCTAGCAGAGCAGCTGTGCGTGTGCAGCCTTGCCCCGACCTGCTCGTGGCTGTTTGCTGCGCGGCCCCTTGGCTGTCCCGCCGCTCTGAGCCGGGAGGCTCCGGGGACTCGCTGCTCTGCATTTATGCAGCCCCAGCACCTGCTCCTGGGGCAGGGGCCTCCGAGCCGCCTCGGCCGTGCTCTGACCCCCCTTGCCGGAGGCCACGCAGTGCTGGGTCCGGCATCGGGCCTGGGGCCAGTGTCCTGGGTGTCAGGTTCCCTCCCCGCCTCGTCTTGCGCACGGGGAGGGAGATTAGCCCCTTCCCTGCCAGCGTCCCAGTGAACGCACCCAGCGTGGGCAGAGCCAGAGGCGCCGGCAGGAAGGGGGTCATAGGCAGAGGGTCCGGCCCTTCCCCGGGCGTCTCACTCTGGTGCGAGGAGCCAGGGCCGGAGCTGAAAGCCCCCCACGATGCTCCTGGGGCTGGTGCCCGCCTGCCCACCCGGGGACCTTGCTGAAAGCAGCCAGGCAAGCAGCACCTGCGGCACCTGCAGCGCGCTCCACCTGCCGCGGCACAGGACAGCAGCAGCCACACGTGCCCCCCGCGCATCCGGCCCTGGGTGACGAAACATGGAGCAGGAGCTGCCAACCCACAGCACTTCCCTGCCCACACGTCATGGCCAGGGCTGGGGGCACAGTCCTGGATGCCAGTGCCATGCACTGCCACTGACACTGAGCCCCCAGCCCCTGCCCCTGGCCCGATGGGGGCAGAGACAGCACCAGGCTGAGCAGCGCTGGGGCCTGGGAGACCCCAGACCCACCTTCAGAGGCCGTGGCCTGGGCAGGGGACACAGCGGCTCAAGCACTCCTGCACTGCGCAAGTGCAGCCCCCGGCCCACGTGAGCTCACGATACCTCCCTGCCCCGTGCGAGCGCATAGTGCGCCATGCCCTGTGCGAGCGCACCATCAGAGGAGGGGGGCTGAAAGGACCGGCAGAGGTCATCTTGTGCAACCCACAGCATTGCACGCCCCGTGTGAGCGCACGCACCTTGCTGCCGCAGCTGGCACGGGGAAGTGTGCCGTTGGGGCTGGGGACAGACTCAGGACCCTGGAGCAGGTGGTCCCCCGTGCTGGCAGGGTGGGACCGGACGGGGCAGGGCCTGAGCCAGGGCCCGCTGGGGCAGGGGTGCGATGCCAGCCCTGTTCCTGTCCCCACGCTGGCTCCTCCAGATCCGGAGCCGGATCCAGAGCCGGCCCCGCCGGGCTCCGTGTCCGAGGAGAGGGGGTGGGCGGGGGCGCCGGCACATCGCCGCTCGCCGGCTGGCTCGGAGCTGCGCCCTCGCGCTCGCTGCCGCTGCCGGCGCTGCCCCATCAGCAGTAACAGTCTGATTAATTCGCTTCCAGCAGGGAGCTGATGGGGCCGATGATGGAGGCGCTGCACCAGGCGCGCCGAAATTGATAGTTTTTCACAGTTACAAATGAGGAGCCTCCTCAGCTGCAAATGGCGCCGGCACAGTCGGACTCCGGTAATGATCATAAAGAGGCTCTCTTTAAACTGCGAAAGCCCCTGGGACCGTGCGGGGGGGCGGCTGCCGCGCTAATGAGAACGACAAGGGGGCGAGCAGGCATGGAAATGGCTCCTCCACTCTTGATGTGCATTTAACTGCTTTTTTAGTGCGGCGGCGGCAGAGCCCGGCACGCCGGAGTGATGAATGCAGCACAAAAGCATTTATTTTCCAATTCGGCAAAGTGGCTACGTTGGGAAATGTATGAATTATTTTAATTCACTCAACTGTCCTGAAACAGCAGAGACGGGGTGCGCGCGAGGCGGGAGGAGGGGGCCGGGCACCGCCCCAGCCTGTGCGCCAGGCGCATGTCAGCCATGCTCGGCCGCTGTCCCGCCACCCGACCCGCGTGCCCTGTGGTGGGGAAGTCCTGCCGGGAAGTCTCTCTGCCCCCTCTCTAGCGTGGGAACCCCCAGGGCCGGACTCTGCATTGCTCCTTGCCAGTGCCGGCAGCGAACCGGGGCTGCACACGCTACTTACGGGGGTTCGGGCAGGCGCCGGGGCCAGCCACAGCCTCGCTCCACTGGTCAGCGCTGGAGACGGAGTAGGAGCGCTGGTGCATGCCGTCCGGCTTGGAGCTGAAGCCCACCAGGTTGATGCCACTGATGGAGCGCTCCGAGTGCAGGGAGGTGCTGCTGGTCGAGTGCGGGGCACCTGCAGGAGAGGGACATGCTCAGCTGGCACCAGCGCCACCACCGCACCCCTCCACCTGCCCACCTTTGACTCGTCCTGCTGGCACCCGGCTGAGCAGGCCCAGCCATCCCCAAGAACATGGCCTGCCCCCCAGCACCCCACCAGGCACCCAGACATGCGCACAGCCCCCAGCACCCGCCGCTGGGCACCTGGATATGCATGCAGTCCCCGGCACCTGGACACACACACAACCCTGGGGCACATGGCACACAACCCAGCACTGCTTCTGTGGGCACCTGGACATGCGCACAACCCCCAGCCCTGCCCAGCTGGGCACCCAGACACAAAAAAACCCCCTGTACCACCCAGCCGCACACCTGGACACACACACAACCTACAACCCCGCCCAGGTGGGTGCCTGGACACAGGTACAGCCCCCAGCCAGGCACCCAGACATGCACCATCCCAGCACTGCCCAGCCGGGCACCCTGCCCCATCCCCCTCGCAGGGCACCCCCAGTCCGCCTGCCAGGCCCCTGCACGCTGGGGCCCCTGCTTGTGAGCGGCTGCAGCCAGGGGCCACATGCTGCGGGAGGCGGAGGCGGAGGCGGAGGCAGAGGGGGCTGGGACAGCTCCTGGGAGCAACCCGCCAACTGGGCTGCATTCAGGGGCTGAGGCCCGGGGCTGGGGCCAGGCTCTCCTCTTTCGGCACAGCGCGAGATCAGTGGGCGCAAGAGCCCGAGGGGGTCTGAGCAGGAGGTGTGAGCACGCACGCATGGCCGTCCAGGCCAGAGACCCCCATACCTCCCCCAGGCCGGGGCGGGAGGGCAGGAAGCCTGGGGCACCGGGCACCATCCTTGTTCTCCAGCTGAAACTGCTTTTCATTTTTCTCAAACCCCGCTGGCCCCGCAGGGCCCCTGGCGCCATGACCGGTGTCCTGCGCTGCCCGTGCAACGCGCGCACCTCCGTCCCCCAGCTGCAACAGAGGCTGCAGCCGCACGCCTGGGGCCTGGAGCCACGACAGGCTCCCCATGCCCTGGGCTCTGGGACGCGGGCGCCAGCGGAGGAAGGGCCCGGTGCCCAGCCTGGGCAGCGCGGCCCGCGGCGCTCATTGCACGGAGCCGCCAGACTCCCCACCCCACCCCACCGGTCTGCTGTGCCAGGCCGCCTCGCCCGTGACCTCTGGGCCTGACCTCCGCCAGGACCCCAGGGCCAGCACCTCCCCTCCAGGCGAGTCCCTGGGCACCGGCCCCAGGACCCACCGACCAGCGCGTGTGCTGGGAGCCAGGCTGCCGCAGGCTCCCCCCCCTCCCTCCCTCCCTCCCCGCGTTCAGCGCCACAGAAACACGTGTAAAACCATGACACTGACTTTGCCTCTAATTAGCCCTTAATTTACAAGACACACTCGGAAGGGTAATTAGCTGGCGCTCTGCTCCTGACTGCCGCATCCATCTCCACTCGCCTCCGTATGGGAGGGAAGCCGGCTGCCGCCCGGGCAGGGGGCTGCTCTCCTGGGACGGGGAGAGGCAGGGTGCTGGTGGCGCTCAGCACCCAGAGCATCCATCCATCCACCCATCTGCCCCATGGCGCTGCACGGTCGCCTGCAGGCAGGGTGCTGTGCTCTGCGAGTCGGGCTCCCGCAGGGCCATGACCTGAGATGAGCCCCCACCCAGAGCAAGGCGCGGGGCAGCTGAGTCGCATCCGCCCCCAAAGACCCCATGCCCTGGGCTCTGGGATGCGGGCGCCAGCGGAGGAAGGGCCCGGCGCCCAGCCTGGGCAGCGCGGCCTGCGGCGCTCATTGCATGGAGCCACCAGACTCCCCACCCCACCGGTCTGCTGTGCCAGGCCGCCTCGCCCGTGACCTCTGGGCCTGACCTCCGCCAGGACCCCAGGGCCAGCACCTCCCCTCCAGGCGAGTCCCCGGGCACCAGCCCCGGGACCCACCGACCAGCGCGTGTGCTGGGAGCCCGGCTGCTGCAGGCTCCCCCCCGCCCAGGGTGGAGCTGGGCTCGGGAAGGGGAGGCTGGGGCTGCTCTTCGGTCCCGGCCTGGGAGCGATTGACTGTCCCCTGGGCCATGAGGGGACGGGGCTGCTACCCACGCTGCACGCCTGCCTTGCCCTGCACACACTGGCCCCAAACCACCCTCCCCAAGGCGGGCTGGGGGATGCGGCTGGATGCTTCTGGGAAGGGCAAGGGGGTCCTCAAGGACCTGGGTCACCGTCTGCTTGGCACCTGCCGCGAGCTTGCTGCCCCGGGGCTGGGAGGGGAGGGAGGCACCGCCCGGCTGCAAGAGGACCCGAGGGCTGTGGGGTGGAGCGGGCCTAGGTGCGAGGCCAGGAAAGCAGCGCGGCTGCACCACGCCGGGAACAGGACGAAGGGGGAAGGCCGGACTGGAGAACATCTGTGTGCTCCACCATGACCGCCGCCGCAGGAAAGGTGCTGGGGGGACAGGCGTCAGGCCAGCTGGGACCCTGCCTGCAGATCCAGCCCCCCGGCAGGTGGACGGCTGCTCTCGTCCTCTGGGAACTCCCCACGGGGCTCGACGCGGTCCCCCAGGACGACCCTCTCACCTGGCAGAGGTGGCCGGGGTCCGAGGCCCTGTGTCTGAGCCACATGCCAGGCACAGGGGAAACACCCCCCTGCAGCTCAGCCCCTTCTTGTGGGGGCTCAGGGCCTGCACCCGCTGCGTGGTGACGCAGGCAGGGGACAGGATCGGGTGACGTGAAAGACATCCGTGTCTGCGCAATACTGGATGCTGACTCCAGAGGGAAGTCTTTCTGCAATGAGATGCAGAGTAACTGTGATATAGATGGAAAAGGTGTGGGTGCAAACACACCTCGCTCGACTCCAGTTCGACTAGCGAGGGGGTCTGTTCCCAAGCCATTGCTTAGGGCAGCTGCTGTCACATCGCCGTGACAAAGTCTGATGACGGTAACAGGTTTTGGCGGGCATCCAGTTCTCATCAGGATCTTCCATAAGGTGCCTCTGTCGATTGAAGCAAAGGCCTTCGTCAGGTCAATGGAGGCTATGTAAAGATCTCAGCGTCGCCGGTGGCAGCTGTCTAGCAATAAAGATCATATCTACTGTCCCTCTGAGCGGTCTGAAACCACCCCAGGACGCGAGCAGACCCTCCTCGGCGAGGAAGTGAGTCTATTGAGGAGAACGGGGGCAAGGACCTTCCCAGCTGCAACAGGCATGCAATGCCACGATAACCGCTGCAATGCGGTCCATCTCCCCTCTCGAATACGGTGACAGCTCTGGCTCCGCTCGAGTCACTGGGGGGTCTGCTCGTGGATTTGGATAGGATGGTTTGGATAGGGGTGATGCAGCCCCAGGCAGGGTCCGGGCTAGATGCAATCTCTGGGGTCCCGTCCAGCCCCATGGCTCCGGGACTCTACGATTCTGTTCCCAGGTTTGCACAAGGATGATGTGTAGTTGCCAAGAGCTTTTTTCCACCTCGTGTACAAATTGCAGCGGGCGGTCCATCACGACCACGTGCCTCGTTGTTCTTCACCTGCTCAGTGGCTTTCAAGGCCTCTGGAGACGCTGGTGGACGGCAAGGTAGTCCGTCACGGGGTGGTGTGGAAGGGGTTCAAATCTTGGTTCAGGAGCTCTTGCAAGTGCTGTTTCCATCGTGCCTTGATGGTGGAGTTGCCTTTAAAGTGTTGTCCCACCATGGGACGTTGGCGGGGCGGCTCCTGGTGCGCTTGGCCTGCAGCGTATAGAGAAACTACATCCTGTGGCTGCTGGCAAACTTTTGGATCTCTTTTGCTTTCTCCCCCACCGCATGTTCGTTTGCTCTTGAGTTTTCCTCTGGTCTCAGCTTTAATGTAGCAACAGCTGTCCTGCTTGTTGGGAGCCGACACCATTCTGCCGAGCTTCAAAGGTTCCCCCTTTTCTGTCAATGAGAGCTTGAATTTCTGTATCGTTCCCCTCAAACCAGTCCTGACGTTTCTTTGCGTGGAAGCCTGGAGATGCTTCGCGTGCCTCGTGGATGCCTCGTTTGCAGCTCTCCCCGTGATCAGGGCCTCCTCCAGCACTGGGGGGCTCATCCGTGGGGATCGAACTCGCTGTAGGGCTGGGACGAGCTCCTCCAGGAGCCTAGAAGCAACACTAGACCCGCTCTCCCTGCAACAGCAAGGTGCGCTTCTTGGACCTGCCCTATCTAACATACAGCAGCAGGCCCGTGTGCATGTGTGCGCATGTGTGCAGATACTAGAAAAAGGCATATTAAAGCTGTACTAAACTCAGACACTCCACAGCACATCACCCTCCTTCCCCAGGGCTGAGAACGAGAGCACACACACACACACACAGACACAGGAGATGTTCATTGCACCCTCACGACACCACTAGAAGATGCCCTGGCGAGCAGCAGCTACAACAGCCGGGAACACGAGACCTGTTGCATGGGGCCGCAGGTGCTGGAGACGGCCTCCCCCCTGCTCCCCATGCAGAGGGGGACAAGTCTGAGCCATGGCTCCCTGGCTCCGGGGGTCTAAGGTCACAGCCCCTTACCCAGAGAGCAAGACTGAGCTTCCCACGGTCCATGGCTTTAGGGTCAGACACCTGGCACCAAGCAATCAGCAACACAAGCCGTTCCAACCCCGGGTTAGGCTTAATGCTACTGCACCGTGTCCAGCATCTGCAGCCACCTGCACAACGCGGGCTGGGCGCGCGGGATGTGGCCAAGCCAATGATCTGGATTCCCAGGTGCTGCTCCCGGATGGCGTAAAGCTAAATCTCCCCCCAGGCAACTTCCTCTGCAGGGAACTCCTCCGGCCCTTCAAGCCCAACCAGCACTTGGGGGAGCAGGTTCCTGGGAATGGTACCTCCAAACTGATCAAGCTGCTCAGGTGTGCATGGATAAAGCTGACAGAGATGCTGCAGCTCCATGCAGAGTCCCAGGTCTGCGGCGCCCGCGGCCCATGCTCGCTGCTGCTGAGTGCAGAGCTTTACATGTGGCCGCCGGAAATGCACGCAGGACTGGAAGGGGCTTCGGGGTGCGTAGAGCCCGGTCC